TTTGTTACTGTAAATTTACTTGCATTAAATGTTTTTTTGATATCAATTATTTTCATCAACTAAATTCACAGATGGAAAATTTTTGTTTTGTCTTTATTATTTGAAAAATGAGTAGACATTTGAAGATTAGTTTGAGAGAAGAAAAAAAGGCATTAAAATTTACAAATTCCTTTAAACGACATAAGATTGAAAAATTTCTCATATTTTAATTCCTTTTATTTAAATAAATTTTATGGATTCAAAATCTAAACATAAGTTTAAAAATTGTGTCAATTAATTTTTAACTGAATATATTGAATGTGGAAAAAGGAAAAGAGTTCTTATTCACATTCATTAATTTCTTTTTGCTCAAACAGAAAATTTTGAGTAGTCGAAATAAAAAGAAAGAAACCGATCTAAAATATCAAATGGGACAAGAAGAATGAAAAATAATAGTGCAACTAGTGCTAGGACTAATTTGATTTCTAAATTAAATTAAAATTGAGATCCTTTCTAGATTTTTTAATGATTTCTTTTTTTACTTATTCTAAATGAATAAACAATCTTCTGTAATAATTCAATACTTAAAATTGATCTAAGTGTTTTAAAAGGCACAAAGGTAATTGAGATAATTTTATAAAAGGATTTCTAGACTCCTCTCTTCTTTTAGTCTAACTTCCTGAGAGAAGAAGTTAAACCGAAAGAAGAGAGAAGCCTAGAAATTAACATACTTCTTATCAACCAGCACAATGCTGCAATTGATTTAACGCTTCATTGCACATATATTCTCTCCCTTCCAATCATCCCTCATCCTTAGGCTCCCTTCTTTCACTTTCATGTCCTCAAAAACTACAATTTCTTAGCCTACTGGCTACACTCTCATAAATTTAAACATGCCCGCATATTAATATCAGTAATACTATTATACATAACACAGATTTTTCAGTTTTTTTTTTTGAGTGAATTTTTTTAGGAAAAAGAAAAGTGAATGGTACTCTCACATTCATATTCATAACCATTCCAATCCATCCTTTCTTTTAATGAAGTCACGATAGAACATAAATTTTTTAAAGAACAATTTTTTCAATCTCTTCCCATTTTCCAATTGATATAGCATTCCCAGTCTATCTCATCTAACAAATTCCTTCCAAAAATTCATCGCCAACAATTCCTATCACATTTCCTTATAACAAACACCAATAATTCATTTCATCTTTTTCCTAAATTTTAAACCAAAAATTCAAAAACTCTATAATTCTAATTTTTGAATTGTTTTTTGTTTTTAAAGAATCAATATTTGCAATTATAAATTCCTTAAATTATCCATAAATGTATTTCAATATAGACTTACAAATATATATTTGTTTGATTGGTGAAAATTGCTTTTTAATTTCAGAAAATATTGCAGTACATTCATTAATAATTTTGTTAAACTTTGAAAAGTTTAAAATATTTTTATCAAGGTTTTTTTTTTCGTTTTTGTAGTACATATTGAATGTGAAATGGTCACAAGGCTAAATGACAATGATAACATCTGGCTTAATATGTTGTCTTGAAATTTTTGATTGTTATTATAAGGATAGCAAAGTAAGTAGCATCACTTCAAACACCAACCTACTTAACATCTTGCAACATTTTCTTCTTTAGCGCTTGAAAGATTGCTTCAATTAAAAAAACTGCTGCTGCTTTTACTACTGCTGCTGCTAATTGCTTACTAAAATTATACAGCCAGATGTTCTGCTCTTCAACTTCACCTTAATATTGTTATCACCAGTTATACTTTCATTCTTCTTCACATTTTATTATTCATAATCACAGTTGCAATTCATTCAACTTTACATCGATGTTTTCCGACGTTGCTGTGTATGTTTTGTTTACTTTATTCTTTTTTTATCATTTAAATCATTCATTAAATTTTTCGTTTTTTTTCCAAAAATTTGCCACTAATGATTTTATGTTCTTTTTTTACTAAAAATATTTTACATTAATGAATATAAACTGATGAAAAAAAAAGTTTGATATCATTTCTTTTTTCTTTTTTTCAAATATCAATAGTTACTATTAAAATTGATAAGATAATGTTTTAGTGGGACAGAGATCTATAATTTGGATTCTTTTTTTTAAAATATGCTATATCCAATTTCAAATTTTAGCTCTTTTCCTTAATTAAAAATTGCTATTGGCTTAATGGATGAATTTAATTGGAAAAGAGAAATTTTCGTTTTCTTTTTTTTGTTAGACTAATTGAGACTTTTCTGGAAAACATTTATAAAATAACATTAATGAATGTAAACTGATGAAAAATAATGAATTTTAATAACAATAGTGTTAGGAATAAATGATTCTGATTATTTGTGGCCAAATAGTAAAAGGAAAGGATGGGAGGAAGGCTGTTTAGATCATCACTTCAAGTATAATTGGTTTTCATCTGTGCTGATGATGTGAAAAAACTGATTTAAACTTTAGAGCTTCCACACACTTACATTCATTTTATTTTATACTGAAATTTATTTGTTTCTTTTTTTTTGTTTTTTGTTTTGTTTCCGCTGAAATTTTGGAAAATATTCGAATATTTTTTCTTTTTAAGAGTGCTAACTTTCTTGCATTTTTTTTCATTAAAATAAAATCAGCTTGGATGATTTTGAATAAATTTTAAATTTTTTAGATTTTTGAATTTTAAACTCTAACTTTTATCCAATTAATTTTTCTTCTTAAAAAATACCACAAAATATTTACTTGATGGGAAACATTTATGATGAATATAATCATAAGAACTCTAATCTGTCACTTTAAGAACTCAGTTCAAGAGGGTTAAGTACATTCTCATTGTTAAGTTCTGAAATTTCACTATTTTATTATGATTTCCTATATTTATATTTACTAATTAATTCTATTTGTTTGTTAAAAATTACAAAAAAATATTTCTGAATGCTTATTTTCTATAATTTTTTTAGAGTTAAAGGAAGAAATTGGATTTATAGTGATCTGCTGTTTTAAATTCTCAAATAATTTAATTTTAAACACTAACTCGGAAGTTTATATCGATTCTGAGATAAATAAATTTATTTGGAAAACATATAATTTGAATTTCTTTTATAATTGTGTCGTTTCTTCTTCTATATCTTATGCAGCCAAAAAGTGAAATTCAAAGCTAATGTGAGGCTTGTGGCAGTGTATATGTACAAGTTGGCTACAGAATTTCAAGTTCAGATTTTCTGAAATTAGCTGAGCTCATATGATCATTTAATATTTATCTTTCAATTTTAATTCATTAATTTTAACTATTTAATCAAGTAAGCATAAATTTTTGCGTGATAAAACTTAAACCAATAGATTTTCTTAAAAATCTTTAATTGATGCACTCAGAAAGAGTTATTTAGAATCTATTTCCTAAATTTGAAATTTATATAGTGATTCGCTGGCTAAATTGATACTTTAAATTTAACATATTAATGAGTAACTAAGCTAATTGAGCCATAATGAACAATTTTGTTTTTCGCCGTGATAATAAATATTAGTAAAATGCTTTCATTCAGATTTTCCAATCTTTTTTCTTTTAAATTTAGTTGTGAATAAAATTTTATGGCTCGGATAAGAGAAAACAGATGCAGTATTTCTCAGAATTCGAAATTTAAAATTTTTTTCTCTCATTTTTCGTAGCAATCAAGGGTGAGACGAGGAATGTAATGCTGATGTGACATCACCATTAGGAATTTGTAAAAGATAGTTTGCTATCATTCTTCTTTTGTTTTGTGATTTAAAAAGATTGAAAAAAGAGGGAAAAAGTTGATTATTACAAACGAAAGAGAAGGGACAAATATTAGATTTAATAGTTATCACCAAAAATGTTAAAAATATTGCAATAACTTCTCCCATAATCACTTCCTAAAAGTATGATTAAATGAAATGAAATTTTTTACTGTGGGAAAGCAGAAATCTATAAAAACATGAAATTTAAAATTTTTTCAAATGAAATGACTGTTAAAATAATTCTTCTAAATGATTCAAAGTTTTAATTTTTGGTCATTTCAACTTTTTGCATAATCTTCTTTTCTCCTAAATTATAATTGAATTTTTAAATAATATTGTTCTGGAATTTATAGAAAATATCGTTTTTGGGTAAGTAATTCTTTTCTGACTTCTTAAATGACCATACTCAAAGACACAGTACATCAATTTCCTTTCCCTTCTTACTATCCTAGCGAAGTGCTGAGCGTAAGTGATTTGTTTATTTTAACGGTGTTTTCCTATCTTAAAATGTAGTAAAAATAAATAACAATTTGTTTCAGGAAAGTTTGCGTTCATTGCAAGTGCGATCGCACAGATCACGAAGCAACTTCACGTAGTCATAGTCTCAGTGCTTCTAAACGTATCGGAAGATCGCTACCACGTATGATATTTTCTTTTTTTTTTTCAATCAAGTTTGGCTAAAAATAATATTGCTTTCCATGCTGGATAGCAGAAGTATGTGTATGCACGCTTTTGTCATTTATTTGCTTTCTGCTTTTGACATTATGCGTTATTGTCCGTAAGACAGCAAAAGCGAAGAGGAAATTTTGTAGGAACAAAATTTTTCAGTTTTTTAAAATTCTAATTACAATTCAAGACGACTTAAAATTTGCTCACTCACAAGATCGTTAAGTTATCTTAATTTAATTTAAAACATATGAATTATCAGAATGATGTGCTTAGTGACTTAGTGACCAAATGCAGTTTGATCGTTATGCATATTTCAATGATCATTCATAATTAACTTATCTTAATTTCAACTAAAACATATCAATGTAAGTGCTTGAAAAGCTTTTTAATTTACTATTCATAAACATTATTCTGATTTATTTGATAACCCAGTCTCTAATTCATTTTTTATTATTATCAAATCATTTTATCTTATCACTGTGATTGTGTAACAAATCGAATAATTCCATGACTATATATCAAAGATCATTTACTTTAAGCACTTTATCCAATCACATTTCACTTAGCAATATATTTCTGTCATTACCAATATTTCAGTAGGAATGCCATCAATCGCAGTGGCACAAACTACTGGTGGTACAGATCCCGGTGCTATAACCCACGGTTATTCATGGGTGCCACCTGGACTTACTCGTCTTAAGGTTCACATTGAAATTTATTTCCTTTTATTCTTTGAGATTTCATTTTATTCTTGGAAATGTTGCAACAACAACATTTCATCAAAATTTTTTTATCATTTAAGGTGGAAGAATATATGGCACAACTACCAAATCATGTCGTTCCGCGGGTCAATAGTAATGGTGAGAAGTTTCGCGAAAAGCAACTTATGTTACAGGTTACTCATTTTTCTTTCTATTCAATTTTATGATATCATTGATCATTATTTGATCACGTACGTGGAAGAGCAATTGTCATCCAATACGGTGAAGTATTTATTCATATATATCGTTTCAGCTACCACGACAGGATTTATCATTAGCATACTGTAAACATCTTTCAAACAATGTTGAAAGGAAACTTTATGAAGAATTTATCAATGCACGAAATGAAATTGCTTTAGACATTGGTTTCGTCTGTCCACTTATTCCAAAACAAATGGTCCGTTATTTTTTTACTTCTTATATAATTGAATTATTAGTATGACAGAAATTCAAAAATATTTTATATACTAAATAATTATCAATTTCAATAGCTGTTAATTGTGCATATTTTGCATGTTTTTTCAATATTTCTTTTGGTGGCTCATTTGAGTTACAAGATTTCAATGTATTTTGTTTTATGTTGAGCAATATTCGAGATTGAAATCAAAAGTAACAATGCTAAAATGCTGAAAAGAATGTAAAATGATGAATGAAAATAGTAATTGATATTGGTGTATATAAACACTTGCAATTAATAGTTAAAAGTTAAGGAAGTATTATGCAATCTTCATTTCAATAAGGAATGATAGGAGGAGAGATGTCCTAATGAACTTTTAATACTTCATTTCATTTCATTGCCCACCGGTCAATATGTGCTCTCATCTCCAATTCAGAGAACGAACTAGTTTCTCATAATCGATTATTCTCGTTCTTATCAGTTCTCGTTTCATCAGATATTCAATCTCAGCTTTTCACACATTATCGAATTCATTACCTTTAAATTCATAAATGAATAAGTTCCAAAAAGTTTTGAAATTTATCAATTAAAGCGGATGTTATTTTTTTCATTTTTCTTTATAACATTTACGGGAAATTGATAGAAATGTTGAAATTTAAAATGATATGAAATGTAGGAGTGTAAGAAATGTCGTGGAGTATTGGAAAGGAGCGAAATGGCTGTAATAGCGCCAAAATTAGGTGAAAATAGTGGTTGGCATCCGGCTTGCTTCACGTGCGCTACGTGCGAGCAGGTATTGTGATCTTCCCTACTACAGTTCGAATTTTTTGATCAATTAATAGCTTTATTTCCTTGATTATACTTATCTTTGCTACCAATCAATCCTTTTAAGTTAAAAAATATGAAGAATAAATTACTGTTTTGTAAACATTTATCAGAATTCAGTTTAAATCTCACTTTTACTATGTTTGTCATTTGAATAAAAAAAAATCGCAGAATATGAAGATTTTTTTCTAAAATTTCTGAAACATATAAACTTTAAAATATTTCTAGTTAAAATTTTCAAGGATCATTTGCATAATTTTAGCTTCTGATCGATTTAACGTATTGCGTGAAAGACGGTGTCATCTACTGTGAACGACATTACGCTGAACTTCATAAACCACGCTGTAACGCTTGTGATGAAGTAAATATTTTTCCATTATTCATCAGTTTTGCACTTCTAAAATTACATCATTACTGCTTTCAATAAGTGAAAGTGAATAAAGTTCTTGTAATTGAAGATTCATGCGGGTTTCTTCTCGATCGACGTAAATGTTCGGAGAAAAGAGTTTCAGAATTTTTGAAATGTAGGAAGAAAGGATGAATGAGACGAATGAATGCTGCTGTAATCATATGAAACCTGTCAAAAATTAACAATAATTATTTTTACTAAAAATAAATACAAGTTTATGTGATGAAGTCAAAAAATTCTAAATGTTTAAATTTTCCATCTTTTGAGCAATTTCTCATCTTCCATATTTCTGCTTCTGATAATTTTTGCAGTCCGGAAATTAAAATTTTCCAATCTTTTATTGAGGGAGTGTAAGGAGTTGAATAGTTTAGAAAAGAAAATAAATGATAATATAATGTGATGATGAGACGGTATTGCCTTCTTTCATATTTTTGAAGGCAACATTGTTTCATCCTAAACTCGACTTTTTTCTCTTCAAACATTTATTCTTCAAGTTCATTTATGATTCATAATTTTCACATTCTCAAAGTTTCTTAGGGTATTTTAAGCTTTATCTAAATTAATTGGTCCCAAACAAGAAATAAACATTTCTTTATTTTATAAATAAATTTTCGAGCTAATTTTGCTGAATGTTTAATTTAAGTATCAAAATTTGACTTAACATTAATTTCGATTTAAACTGCATTTTTTTAGAAATATATTAATTGCTTAGCTCTATTTGTGGATGAAAATGGTGAGAGTTAATTTTATAGGAAGAAGGATAATCTTTTTTCAGTCTTGAACTCATACGGTGTAATTTGAAAAAAATATGTCTGAAGCAAACAGTAAAATTTAGTATTAGTTGCGAATTCATGTAATTGCTGATTTTAAGCAGGAAGGAAATAATGAATGAATGAAAGGAGGGAGAAGTTGCTTGGCTGAAAATGATGTAATTGGCCTGAAAGAAAATAGGCCTGATTACTTCTATTTGCCCTTATTTGTGTGTCGTTGATAGTTGCTATAACTATCATTGCTATGGATAAAACAGATGAATATTGTTGTTGGTTGGTAAATTTGCTTGAAATTATTGAAATTATTCTCTATTCTCACAGAATATCACACTATATTTCGCATCCTTTCTCACTTTTTCATTCCTTTAAAGGACTTTTCTCTCTATTATTATAATAGAGTGATATTCTAGGCATTTTCGGTCTGATTTATCCTTTGTAGCAATAACACGAATAAGCTGAACTGAGGAAGTGCTATTTGTTTGACAGATTTAGCCAGGCTTTATCTTTCTCTCCTAACATTTCCTCTCCTCCTCCTCCAATCATCATCAATCATTTTTATCTTTTTCCAGTGATATCTCATTGTTTTCCATATTTTTTATATTTCTAATTCTTTAACATTCCACAATAAAAATCACAAAATCAATCCTAAGCCTAATTACACAATCCATTTCTAAAAACAAATAGCAGTCGTATGGCTCTTCAAAAAAAATAAATAAATAAATAAGAAAGAAAAGAAGAAATTAATATTTCTGAAGAGTATTTGTAGCATTTGTCGTGAATTTCTTTGATTTGTGAGTTGATGTCGAGCAGTAGCCAATGTTACCAGTATTTCGATGCGAGCTGGGTTGATTGATTGTGTTTGTTGGGAGCGTTGGGTTGAATTGAGTGGAGTTGAATTGTGTTGAGTTGAGTTAAATTGAGTTGAGCTGTACTGGTTTGTATAGAGTGAACACCGGATAGTAAAGCATTTACTGATCACAGTAGAGAAAAAAAAAAGATGTGATCTGTTAATATCATGGGATTTATAAGTATTGGGAAGTGGGAGTGGTTTTCATTAAA